GAATGATTTCTTTCATACGTTACGAGCCTTAAGCTATCTGAGAAAGGATGCATTCCCTCTCAGGTCATAGTCTCTAGTGCGGTTGAGATCGCAAACATAATAAAAAAAACACTTCTTTCAGGAGATAACCCGTAGTTAGCCGAACTACGTTTGCTCTGATCTTTCATACCAGATGAAAGTACGTAGGCATAGGATGCGATATCCTAGCGAGCAACCTTTCCCCCATCTTCCCCCGTAGTTAGCCGAACTACGTTGACTCTGATTTCTCATTCTCTGATGAGAATACGTAGGCATAAAGTGCGACGCTTTGCCGAGTCATTTTTCTTTTCTTTTTCAGCCAGCCTTGATAGGTAGATAGATTATAACCAACCCGTCCAAGTAAACAAACAAGCGAGGATCCCGTCGAGTACGACGGACGTGAGGGGTGCTAATACCTTCCCCTTGCGTAACCGACTCCCGAGCCCAGACAATGGTTGCGATGACCTTGTCTTACCCTTATTCGTCAGGTTTTTCCGATCGTTTCCTTTCCCGCTCTGAGGGATAAATAACGAAAGGTGGCGACTCTTCTGTCATGCCGGCACCTTATTTTCGCGCAAGCGACATTGGGTACGTAGTTTTCAGAGGAAACCAGAAAGGAAGAATTAAAGGATCTGGAACAGTTGGTAACATATCTCTTCCTTTTATGTTAAGGGACTAATGCATAATTTATTATCAATAAGTCAATTAAGTGATAACGGTTATGACATTATTTTTAATCAAAAAACATGCAAGGATGTTAGTCAGAAAGATGGCACAGTTCTCTTCACTGGAGAGAGGAAAAACAACATTTACAAAATAAAGCTTTCTGATCTTAAAAACCAAGATGTTAAATGCTTAATGTATGTTAACGAAGAGCAATGGGTGTGACATAGATGTTTGGGGTTATATTAGTATAAAATGGATTTATCAACTAAATAAACTTGAGTTAGTCAAAGGCCTGCCTAAGCTGAAGTTTACTTTAGATGCTCTCTGTGAAGCATGTCAAAAAGGCAAGTTTTCAAAAACATCTTTCAAAACTAAAAATGTTGCTTCCACCTCTAGACCTTTGGAGCTTCTACACATTAACTTGTTTGGTCTAGTAAAAACAACATCGGTTAGTGGTAAGAAGTATGGACTTGTCATTGTAGATGACTAAAATCGTTGGACATGGATAAAATTTATAAGGCACAAGAATTAGTCGCATTCTATGGTTACTAGTTTCTATTCTAAAGTGCAAAATGAGTTTGACTCTAAGATCGTTAGAGTCAGAACTGATCATGGTGGCAAGTTTGAGAATAAGTGGTTTGAAGAGTTATTTGACTCTAATGGCATATCCCATGTCTTCTCCTGCCCTAGAACTCCACAACATAATGGAGTTGTAGAAGGAAAGAATATGACATTGCAAGAGATGGTCAGAACCATGATTAATGGAACTAATGTGGCTTAGCACTTTTGGGCAGAAGCTGTGAATACAACATATTACATTCAGAATAAGATCTCTATCAGACCTATCTTGGAAAAGACTCCTTATAAATTGTGTAAAGGAAGAAAATCCAATATTTCTTATTTCTATCTGTTTGGATGCTCTTGTTTTATTCTGGATACTAAAGAGATTCTGAACAAGTTTGAATCTAAAGCATAGAAGTGTATTATGTTGGGATACTCAGAACGCTCTAAGGGCTATAGAGTATACAATACAGAAACACATATTGTGGAAGAGTCAATCCATGTTAGATTCGACGATAAGCTTGACTCAGAAAAGTCAAAGCTAGTTGAGAATTTTGCAGATCTAGAAATAACCCTTGCATGGTCTAGAGAAAAGGCAAAAGAACCTCAGAACAAAGACTCAAAGAATGTTGATAAAGATACATGATAAGCAACTAAATATCCACCAGTCCAGAAAAAGCAAAGGCATAAACAAACCTTTTCTGAATAATTGATTCTAGGAGACAAAGTTGAACCTATCAGAATAAGATCCACATTTAAACAACTAGAGGAAACACTCTTAGGACTGGTGTCTCTGATAGAACCAACCTCTTGTGAAGAAGCACTTCAGTATAATGAATGGATTCTGGCAATGCAAGAATAGTTAAACCAGTTCTCCATAAATGATGTTTGGGATCTAGTGCCCAAGCCCAAGGGGACTCATGTCATTGGAACCAAGTGGGTGTTCAGAAACAAATTGAATGAGAAAGGAGAAGTTTTCAGAAACAAAGCACGACTGGTTGCACAAGGTTACAGTCAACAATAAGGTATTGGCTACAATGAAAACTTTGCTCCAATCGCCAGGTTAGAATCTATCAGTCTTCTAATTTCTTTTACTGTTAATAATGGTATAACTTTATATCAAATGGATGTCAAAAGTTTGTTTCTAAATGGATAAATTTTTGAAGAAGTATATATTCACCAACCTCCAAGTTTTGAAAACATTAAGTTTCCATAACATGTTTTTAAACTTAAAAAGTCATTGTATGGTCTACAATAAGCTCCCAGAGCTTGGTATGATAGACTAAGTTCATTTCTTTTAGAAAATGACTTTACTAGAGGCAAAGTGGACACTACTTTCTTCTATAAAAACATTGGAAACAATCTAATGATATGACAAATCTATGTAGATGACATAATTTTTGGTTCCGCTAATTCGTCTATTTGTCAAAAAAATTCTAAGCTAATGCAGGCAGAGTTTGAAATGAGCCTAAAGCAAGAGCTAAAATACTTTTTGGGTATACAAATAAATCAAACTCCAGAAGCCACATATATTCATAAAAAAAAAATACACAAAAGAGCTCTTAAAGAATTTTGATATGACAGATAGTAAATTGGCAAAGACTTTCATGCATCCTACACGCATTCTGGAGAAAGATGAGGTAAGTAAAAAGGACGCCCAAACAAAAAAAGAATAAGGACCGAAATGGATACAACTGATAAAATAATAAGATTATGCAGTATATGTCATCAACCCGGACACAACTGAAACAATTGTACTAATGTCGGAGCAACCTTTGCATCATGATGTAGTTTATCCTTTCAATTGTTGTAACCTAATATTTTCATATATTAATGAGTCTTTGTTACAAAAATGTTAACAACAAACAACACATACCGCAAACAAATAATAAACAACACATACGACACATAAAACAGATAACAGAAAAGAAACATAAAACATTTTTAACTGATTACAACAATCAAACTAATTTTATTCGGTCCAAACATGACTTTCCTCGCATCTTTGTCAGTCTTAACGCGAATCCATCCACGCAGGCGATTAAGTCTCTCGATACTTCAAAATTTTCCCCTTCACCAATGTCTCCTTCTAACCACTAATTCAGCTCCCTCTTAAGTTGATTGAAACTTTGAATGTTTCAAAATAACATGTCCATAAGAGGCTTCTCTCTCGAATATATCACTTTTCCCCACCGATGATGATACATGTTATCAGTGGAACAAAGATATGAGATGAGTTGTGGAACCAAATGATCAGAACACCTCTATTTATAGAAAAAAAATTCACTTTCAAGGTTGTCTCCATCTCAATTGGCGACTCCCTTGTAAGTTTTAAACTCAGACGCCAATTGGATTGGAGACACCATGAGGTATCTCCAATCTGATTGGCACCATCCTTCAAGCCCTTGTGAAGGGTCACTAATCCACCTGGTGCCACCATGTAATCAGTACCCCAAACTGAGGTACTTTGGGAAATAATTTAAAATGTGGAGTATTAATTTTGGAATTTTTTTTTGAAAAATTCCATTATTTTGATAAAAAAATTCTCAAAATTGCATTTCAAATTAATCACAAATAAAAGATTTTCAAGGCTGTACGGAGGAAGAACATCTTGTCTTAGTTAATCACTTTGATGCTTGAAATGAAAGTCTTGTTGCCATTATTTATAATAATTTTGTTCAAAAATTATTTTTAATTAAATAGATCGAAACAAGAATCGTGAACAAATCAATTTTCTTATGGTATTTCAAATACACATAATAATTTAGTTTATTTTGAGTTTACATAAGATCAATAAAAACTTAAATATAAAAAAAGATAAAATTTAAATTTTTTAGTGAAGAGGATACCAACCATTCAAAATCTACATTATTAACAAACATTTGGTTTTTCATTATTGAAAAGCCAAATTAAATATTATAAAATGCTACAAGGTCAAGCTATGCCATGCAGAAAATGAACCATAATCTAACCAACATAAGTAACAACTCATATAAAAATAACACATTTCATACACTTTGACCCCAACATTTGGTAAACAGAAGCAACAAGTCAACGAACAAAAGAATACAAAAGCAAATCCTAAAAAGTGTTGTAGATATTTGCACTATAGACTAACTTGCTGTAAAAAGTGTTGTAGATATTTGCACTATACCGAATTCAATGTTTGAATTAAGATTGGCATTTGGCCATGTTTAAGTGATCATTATATTAGGTCAACATAAATTAATTGTACAAATTAGACTTTTCCCTGAGTTTTGACAAATAATGCCTCTAAAGGTTGGTTTGGCGTCTTAGTTAGATTAAAAATACAATATAATAAAAATTGAACAAAATATAATAATAACATAATAGACTTATCATATTGTATTATGTGTTTAATACATACAGTTTAAGAAATATGTTTTCTTTTTACAAAATTAACTTATAAAATATAAAAAAAAAATTGTATTTAATGTTAAATTACTTTTTAAATTTAATAAATAAATATATAAAAATACTTTTTTTTAAATAGTAAAATAAGTTTAAATAACTTTTATAAAAATCTATAACACCATTGAACAAATAATTTTAACTTTTTTTAAAAATTACAATAAATTTGTAGTTCTTGAATGTAGAGAATAAGAATTGGTCTGATGATGGAGACTTGAATCTTAAAAGTGTGTTCTTTTTAAGATGCATATAAGTAGTAAAAAATGCATATAAGTAGTATAGATATGTGCATATAAGTAATTCATCATATTCAGATCCAAAATTCATACAAAAGCAGTCTTCACTACATCATTACCAATTTTACTACCACTGCATCCTAAAACCATTGAAATTGACTTCAACATCTTCCACATCCCTTTACTATTATCATTCCTCTTGCTCTTCACAACCTCTTTCCCATTCCCCGGCACCACCGGAAACATCGCCGTCGGCTCCCTCCGGCTCAGTCTATTTCTAATATCACTAAGTTGCATCTCCTTGGAAGACAACCTTGAACTCGACGACATCCCAAACAAAAACAAAAACCATCTAGACTTTGTCGCACACCTCACCAAAGAAACCTTCCCCCCCATTGATGTGTAATCGTAAGCAAAACTCTTAACCTTCAAGCCACCAATATCATCCTCGTCATTACATTTCTTGGGCTTTGAAGAGATCGGTTTTGCTCTTGGAACAACATCTTTTGGATGATCTTTGAAGGGAATGAGTTTGCCACAGAAGATTATGTTGTCATGAGTTGTTGAAGTCGCGAATTCTTCGCTGAAAAACTCAAACAAATTATCATCATCATCATCATGGTGATTCTTGTTGTAATTGGATATTGAGTTTTTTCCATCTTCTTTGGAGAAATCACCCCTTTGAGGTGAAATCCTAGAATTCGGAAGGTCGCGAAGGGAGAGAGTCTCTTCATCATCATCATTATCATCATGATAATCATATTGATCTTGTAGCAGATTATTACTTTCTTCATTCCCTACTTGTTGATCTGAGTATAACTCTTTAGCCATTATTGATACAAACAAAAAAGAATTTCCTATGTGGAGTCTTATTGATCAAGTTTTTTTCTTCAATATATATAAGAGATTAAAAAGTTTATATTAACTAATTGATGTCGATGCCTTCTAGATGAATAAGAAAAATAAACAAGGTACTCAAATATAACATTCATCTAGAAGAGCAGGCGCCAAATCCACAAAATGATGTCATAAGTGATTCTAGATGGAAATTGTACTTTTCTTTTTTGATTAATGGAGAGGCTTTATAGGTTGTTTACACATGTCTAAGCATAGTTTTGTGTTTGGATTTTAGCCTTTATAGTCAAAACCAATGTCCCACTAGCTACTAGATAATGAACTGTTTGGCAAGGTTGACATATTTGTGGAGCCGGCATGTTAAGCAAATATGCATATGGTCTTGTTTCTTTTTGCCTATAATATAATGCTCTACATTACTACATTGACTTGTTTTTTGTTATTTTGTGGTAACAAGTGAGGACACAATACTTGATTTGTAGTCTTTTGACTTGATGTGCAAGATTGTGTAGATTATTGTATTGTATTTATTTATATATGTTTTGAATTAGCAAACTTGAAACTTAAGCAAAACATGTTTGAAAGTGTCTTGAAATGATTTCATAAACTATTTTGAGAGTGCTCTTTTGCTTTTCTAGTGTATTAGGTTTCAATATTAATTTGATTGGGTAAATGTACTATTTTTTTTTTTTAGTCTATGTAATTTTGTTAGTTCCATTTTGATTCATTTAAATGATTTCATATGTGTTGTTTTGTTTTTGATTTTTGATTTATAAAATTTATTTATATTGAAATTGATCTTTATAATATATATTGAATATATGCTTTTTATTTTTTAATATAAATATTAAAAGAATGAATTTTGATATTATATACATATTACATAGACTAATTTTAATATAAATTAATTTTTTAAAGTTAAAAATAAAGAAACAATAAAAAAAATTCTATAGATTTAAAAGGATTAAATACACAAATAAATACAAGAACTATAAATAAGTATTATATTTAGTATGTTGATGATACGACTTAAGCGTGGAACCAATTATTGATAATCTTCTGACGGTTAAGGCTATTTTTCGTAGTTTCGAGTTTGCATCAAGTCCAAAAGTGAATTTTCCTATGAGTTGCCTTTTTGGTATTAATGCGGAGAGAACCTTCTTTGGGAAAGCACGCAATTTCTTGTATGGTAGAGTTGGCTCTTTTCCTTTTAAGTACTTAGGACTTCCTATGGGAGTGAATCTAAGAAGGAAATGTATGTGGGAGCCTCTAGTGAAGTTTGTAGCTAGTAAGTTGAAGTTTAGGAGGAATAAGTTTGTAAGCATGTGTAATATGGTTATTCTTTTAAATTCGGTTTTGAATGCAATGTCAGTCTTATTTCTCTCTTTTATGGAAAAATTTGTGAAGGTTTTAAAGAATTTGGTTGAGTTGCACTGTCGGTTTCTTTTGGAGGTTCCAAAGGTGGGGTTAAGATGGCATATGTTAAGTGGGAAGACATTTGTAAAGACAAGAGCTCATGGGATTTATGAGTTAAAGATCTGAGACTAGTGAAGTTGGCTCTCCTTAGCAAGTAGAGGTTGAAGCTTATGGACGATCACCCTTATTTGTGGAGGATGTTTGTTTCAGCTAGGTACGACCTACAAGTCTTGGGGGTCTCTTGAGGAGGAGCGTTGGGAGGTTTGTCTTGAGGCTCGTGTTGGTGAATAGGTGTTTCTCTACTTGAGGCTAAGCCCGAGGAGCCCCAAGATTGGTTTTCCTCATCCTTTAAAAAGAAGGTTGGGGACGGTATGAGGTCTACTTTTAAGCATGTTGTGCGGGTGAGGTTAGTTCTATTTAGTGTCTCCTTTGAGAGGTTGTTTCTTGTTACACAGTTGAAGACTCTAGAGGCGGGTAAGATAGGGGTATTGATAGAGGATGTTAGAGTTTGTGATTTAGGTGGAGACACTTCACGCTTGTCTGTGAGGAAGGCTTCTTAGGGGGAGATTATGGGCTTGTTAGCCATAGTGGTTAAGTAGGATCAAGATGATACTTGGTTTTGGATCCTTGATCCCATTTGTGGCTTTTCAATGAGGTCAGATTATGAACTTTTGTTCAGATCTAATGAAGGGGTCAAAGGTAGGTTAGAGAGGGTGATTTAGGGGTTGGCTAGGATTCTGAAGAGTTGGACGCCTCCCAAAGTTGTTTTACTTTCTTGTTAGATTTTACATAATAGGATATCAACGAGCCAAAATCTTTTAAGGTGTTTGATTTTGTCTACTAAGAGTGGAGAAGGGTGTGGCTTGTGTCCTATTCAGGTGGAGTATGCAAATCATTTGTTTGTTCATTGCAATTTTGCCTTGACTATTTGGTTAAAGTTTTTTTAGTGGTGGTTAAGCATATGCCTTTCCCTAGGAAAATTTTATATTTGTTTAAATTGTTTCTCGGATTAGATCAGGAAAATAATGTGATTTTAGGTGTGGTTTCGACTTGGCATTCAGTTATCTGAACGACTTGGCATTCAGTTATCTGAACTATTTGGAAGCTGCGTAATAAAGCAATTTTTCATGGTGAGAAATTGATGGTTAACCATTGGGTGACTTTATTGTTTATCTGACTCAGAAGTGGATTAATTATCACACTCTAGGAGTTGATTTTTCTTTGGTCGATTGGGAGTATGACACACTCTTTTGCTTAGGTAATTAGTAGAGGGTTGGATTGCTAATTGCTTTACTATGTGGTGCAGGTAGCCTCTTTTTCCTTCCCTCAGCCTATTTTTTCTAGTGGTTTTATCGCTTGGTTCTCATTAGCAGAGCAATGGTGGTCTTTTATGTTTGCTTCTGATTTGAGTTTTTTTTTGTTGGTGCCACTTTGTCTTCTTGTTAGGACGATTTTGGGTTTTACTTGTGTTTTAGGAGTATCAGTTATGCTTTGTTGTTGCATTTTTTTTCTTGTGTAGAGACTTTTTAAATATTTTAATATTAATATATTTTCCAATAAAAAATATTTTATTCAACTTTTTAACAGGTCTAAAATATTGACAAAATCGAATACGACAAAATTAATTTGTCTCATTCTTCATTTACTAAAAGCTATAAAACTCACATATTAAATACAAGCGGGAAATTGCAAGTTCAAAACAATGTCTAACCTATCAAATATTTTAATATTTTTTAGGCTTAAATGCAGTTTTGGCCTCCAAGTTTTCCAATTGCTTGATTTTGGTCCCTCGAGTAACAATTGCATGGTTTCAACCCCTCAAGTTTGCCTCTTTTGTATTTGATAGTTTTCTAATGGCATGTAGACTAAACTTGCTTACGTGACATTAAAAAATTAAGTCAACGTTGATGTGGCATAAAAAATGGGTGATGTGGCAAAAAAGAACTTTGCCAACGCAAAAGGCATTGTTTTTGTAATATTTGATTACTTAAAAAATAAAATAAAATAAAATAAAATAGAAATGATTTTTATAATATTTGATTAAAAGAATCTTGTGGACTTGAGTTGAAATATTAAGCTACCACTGAAATAGAAACAGGGATTTCGTTTATGAGAACTAAAATAAAGAAGAATAAAGAATAAGAGTCAGCAATCAAACGACAGAACTGCGACAAGCATGCTCATGACAATGGAAGATTGTCGGTTAACAAAGACTCTCCTCACACACACGCGCGCGCACGCGCCCGATCACGCGCACGCGCACACACACACGCACACACGCACGCACGCACGCACGCACACACACACACACACACACACACACACACACACACACACACACACACACACACACACACACACACACACACACACACACACACACACACACACACACACACACACACACACACACACACACACACACACACACACACACACACACACACACACACACACACACACACACACACACACACACACACACACACACACACACACACACACACACACACACACACACACACACACACACACACACACACACACACACACACACACACACACACACACACACACACACACAGTTTTAGTCATTCTTTTACCTTTAATTATTGTTTTCACATTTACAGGACATACACATACTTGTCAAACTTCCACATATAATTATATATATATCATATATTTATTTTTCTAGATCTTTAAATCGATATACCTATAACATACACTCATGACATATCTATAATAATTGATTTTATTACAATTTTATTTTTATAATTAAAAAAAGCAAAAAAATAAAATGTTGAAAAACCAAATGCATGCTCTATCATTCATCACCCTTTTCACATTCTTCTTCTTCTTCTTCTTCTCTCTCTCTCTCTCTCTCTCTCTCTCTCTCTCTCTCTCTCTCTCTCTCTCTCTCTCTCTCTCTCTCTCTCTCTCTCTCTCTCTCTCTCTCTCTCTCTCTCTCTCTTCACTTTTTAAGGTGAAACTGTAGTCTAGTTTTTCTTGGATCCTTCAAAAGACTCATATTTTTCATTCTAGTGTTGCAAATGTGGAATTTGTAAAACATATTTATTTTATCAAGAAATTATATTTTAAAAAAAATGAGAAACATAGAATTGTTGTTAAGTGTATGGAACAATGTCCATTTCATATGAGAGTGAGTAAATCTTAAAACAAGATTTATTTCCAAATTGTTAGTTTATAGGCTACTTATCATGTCATATGACTACTACGAATAGGAAAACAAAGATCAAATTATTGGCAAAGAACTTTGTTAGTCTTTTGAGGCACACATCAAATATGAAACAGGGGAATTGCAAGATGAAGCTAAAACTAGGTGGAGAGTGATGCTCATTAGACATCAGGTATATAGAGCAAAAACAAGGGCATTAGAGATGATTGAGGGAGGTTGCATTGAAGATTATGCACATTTGAGGAGTTATGGGCAAGAACTATTAAAGAGTAATACATAATGCATAGTTTTAATCAAGACTAAACTTATTTTGGGATGGTCCTGTGTTTTCTAGGAAGTATGTCTTCTATTAAGGAGTAATCCA